AAAGCTGAAATCTGAGCCCCCGCCCCTCTGTTTAAGGTTGTTTTTTCTTTCTTAACATAGATGGCTTCTTTCACGCCCCTCTCAAACCACCTGCCTTCTTTGTCCAAAATGTGAACATTCTGGCCCTCAAAAGAATGTCCTTTGTCCACAAGGTGAAGATGGACAGCAGAGTCTTGTCCAGAGGAGGGTGCTCTTCTGTATTGGGACATGTGTCTGTGGAGAGCTTGTTTGGTTTAAAATGTTCTGGAATTTTGTGTTTGGAGAAAATCCTCTTGAGTTTTTCAGAGTCCAACAACATATGGGATGGTTAATCTTCTCACCATTATGTTCTGCTGCTTGTCTTTTGGATTTCCTTACATGAATATTACATTGAACTCAAACTACCCTTTCTTTTGTCCCCCCCAGTCTCTTTTGGAGACTCATGACTCAGTTGCCTCCCAGGCATGTGATAGCCAGCCTCCCAGCCCGTGTGATTACGTTGATCATGAACAAGAAGACAGCCAGGCTACTAATCCCACCCTGCCCTCTGATGCTATACGTATGGTTGGCATACGTAAAGTAGCCGGAGAACATCTGGTAAGAAATGTCTTTAATCATGTCTGTCTGTGATAATACAGCTATTATTAAGGAGAGCCCTATCAGATAATGTCTGCTATTTATTTTTTCTTTGAGAATATTTTTGTCCTGATTTCTGATGTTCTCTTATGTTACATTTAAAAAAATCTCTAATCTCATAGGTCCTGTGTTAAACTTCTAAACATTGTCAGAAAATAACAAGAACCTTTGTTTGAACAGCATATTGTGAATAATCCTGAGTAAGATGTTTAAATTCGGCCTTAAAAAAGCACATTTTCCCCTTATAGATTTCTCTATTTTTTTCTTTTTGTTCAGACTTAAATGTTTACATCATCAAACAGTTTATGATTGGATGCAAAGTAAATAGTATTAATCACACAAAGTGATCCTTAAAGGTTCCATATTATGCACAATTAATGTTACACACATTGGAAATCCATCCATCGTCCATCCATCCTTCCTCCATCCATTCATTTCTTATCCCTCATTCATCCCTCATCCATCCATCCTTCCTTCATCCATCCCTCATCCATCCATCCCACATTCATCC